TTGCTGCGTGTATACCGGTCCGTGCCCAAATGGGGGGGGGGGGGGGGGGTTCAACACTTTTTTGTTGAAATCTACATTTATTTTAAATAGGTAGAGCCTGTCATAGGAGAGGTGGGACATGAAAATTGCAAGTGCCAATTAACTTACTATTTAGTGTCCCGGCTTTGCATTAAATCACCAAAGAGGAACACATAGTAAATGTCCTTTGCCCATTACTCTATTCTCGCCACATCTGCTGAGTAGAGTTGATCTTCCTATCTTTCAGTTCAAGTTTACATAAACTAGTGATCATCTAACAGATTTGTTTGAAGGGTTTGCATTGTCCTGATGTTTGATAATGGATTTGGTCGTTATAATTCACACTGATCATTTTATCCTCTGGAATTTCAGATGGAGAAACAAAGGCGAATAGAACGCATCAAACAAAAGAGTGCTCAGCTCCAGGAGCTTCTGCTGCAGGTACTTAATATTTATTGGGATGTCGTAAATCATCACCTGGTGGTATTATTAGTTTTTTGAATCGCTTAAATGCGTTGGGCCTTATTTGAGGTATAGGTGCCGATTGTCAGGGCTGCACTGGAAGATAAATAATGAAAGTCTGAATCTGAGTGTTTTTTTTTATGTTGGTCCATACAGATCTAATATAAATTACTTCTGAAAATGGAAAAATGGAGCGGACAAAATGTGTTTTGTCTGTGGAGAGGGCAGGGGAAGTTCGCTGCACTTGGTTATCAGGGGATAACAAAAGTGACCCTGCAGAGGAGGTTACTACCCTTTCACATTGGTGGCCTTTCTTGCACATTCATTGGTGGGTCTGTATCTTGCTCCCTCATAATGTGAAAGATGGTTAATTCAGGATGGGCTCCGCTTGAGGACAAGCCAGCTTGGAGGCTGCTCATTCAGCATGGCCACCTGGGAACAGCAGGAGGCTCTGGGCCTCAGCTCAGACAACATCTGCGTGGACTCTACAGGACCCCACATTGACTATCCAGGACAGGCAAGGAGGAGGGGCCCACTTTCTGTTGCATCTGTACTCATGAGTGCAAAATCTTCCAAACACCCAACCTGCCAGTACCAACATGGATCTTTGTCCCATACACTTTGTGCCTGTACCATATACTTCCTGTTACACCCCTATCCTGTATTGTGCTGCATTTTGAAGTGTTACTGATGTACTGTCTCTATCCTGTTATCCTGCTCCCCTCCTTTATCACTATTTGCCCTATGTCTGCCTGTATCTTGGTGTGTGTGTGTGTACTCCCTCTGTCTGCTGTTACACGATTTTTCATTTCCTCTACCTGCCTGGATCACTATTTGGTCTTCCGTTTGCCTGTGTAAAATGTTATTTGCGCTGCCCTTTGCTTGCTTAAATCACTATGTGTTCTACCATTTGGCTGCCTAGATCATTCTGTGTTTTGCCCTCCTGCCTCAATCAATATGTGTCCTGCCCTACTCCTGCCTCAATAACTATGTGTCCTTCCCTCCACCTGCCTGGATCCCTGTGTGTCCTGCATTCTGCCTACCTGCATCACTGTGTGTCCTACCCTGCACCTTCGTTGATCACTGTATTTTCTGTCGTCCACCTGCCTGCTTCTTTGTGGTTCATGCATTCTGCCTGCCTGGATTACTGTATTTCCTGCGTTCTGCCTGCCTGGATCACTGCGTGTCATGCATTCTGCCCGCCTGGATCACTGCGTGTCTTGCATTCTGCCCGCCTGGATCACTGCGTGTCTTGCATTCTGCCCGCCTGGATCACTGCGTGTCTTGCATTCTGCCCGCCTGGATCACTGCGTGTCTTGCATTCTGCCCGCCTGGATCACTGCGTGTCTTGCATTCTGCCCGCCTGGATCACTGCGTGTCTTGCATTCTGCCCGCCTGGATCACTGCGTGTCTTGCATTCTGCCCGCCTGGATCACTGCGTGTCTTGCATTCTGCCCGCCTGGATCACTGCGTGTCTTGCATTCTGCCCGCCTGGATCACTGCGTGTCTTGCATTCTGCCCGCCTGGATCACTGCGTGTCTTGCATTCTGCCCGCCTGGATCACTGCGTGTCTTGCATTCTGCCCGCCTGGATCACTGCGTGTCTTGCATTCTGCCCGCCTGGATCACTGCGTGTCTTGCATTCTGCCCGCCTGGATCACTGCGTGTCTTGCATTCTGCCCGCCTGGATCACTGCGTGTCTTGCATTCTGCCCGCCTGGATCACTGCGTGTCTTGCATTCTGCCCGCCTGGATCACTGCGTGTCTTGCATTCTGCCCGCCTGGATCACTGCGTGTCTTGCATTCTGCCCGCCTGGATCACTGCGTGTCTTGCATTCTGCCCGCCTGGATCACTGCGTGTCTTGCATTCTGCCCGCCTGGATCACTGCGTGTCTTGCATTCTGCCCGCCTGGATCACTGCGTGTCTTGCATTCTGCCCGCCTGGATCACTGCGTGTCTTGCATTCTGCCCGCCTGGATCACTGCGTGTCTTGCATTCTGCCCGCCTGGATCACTGCGTGTCTTGCATTCTGCCCGCCTGGATCACTGCGTGTCTTGCATTCTGCCCGCCTGGATCACTGCGTGTCTTGCATTCTGCCCGCCTGGATCACTGCGTGTCTTGCATTCTGCCCGCCTGGATCACTGCGTGTCTTGCATTCTGCCCGCCTGGATCACTGCGTGTCTTGCATTCTGCCCGCCTGGATCACTGCGTGTCTTGCATTCTGCCCGCCTGGATCACTGCGTGTCTTGCATTCTGCCCGCCTGGATCACTGCGTGTCTTGCATTCTGCCCGCCTGGATCACTGCGTGTCTTGCATTCTGCCCGCCTGGATCACTGCGTGTCTTGCATTCTGCCCGCCTGGATCACTGCGTGTCTTGCATTCTGCCCGCCTGGATCACTGCGTGTCTTGCATTCTGCCCGCCTGGATCACTGCGTGTCTTGCATTCTGCCCGCCTGGATCACTGCGTGTCTTGCATTCTGCCCGCCTGGATCACTGCGTGTCTTGCATTCTGCCCGCCTGGATCACTGCGTGTCTTGCATTCTGCCCGCCTGGATCACTGCGTGTCTTGCATTCTGCCCGCCTGGATCACTGCGTGTCTTGCATTCTGCCCGCCTGGATCACTGCGTGTCTTGCATTCTGCCCGCCTGGATCACTGCGTGTCTTGCATTCTGCCCGCCTGGATCACTGCGTGTCTTGCATTCTGCCCGCCTGGATCACTGCGTGTCTTGCATTCTGCCCGCCTGGATCACTGCGTGTCTTGCATTCTGCCCGCCTGGATCACTGCGTGTCTTGCATTCTGCCCGCCTGGATCACTGCGTGTCTTGCATTCTGCCCGCCTGGATCACTGCGTGTCTTGCATTCTGCCCGCCTGGATCACTGCGTGTCTTGCATTCTGCCCGCCTGGATCACTGCGTGTCTTGCATTCTGCCCGCCTGGATCACTGCGTGTCTTGCATTCTGCCCGCCTGGATCACTGCGTGTCTTGCATTCTGCCCGCCTGGATCACTGCGTGTCTTGCATTCTGCCCGCCTGGATCACTGCGTGTCTTGCATTCTGCCCGCCTGGATCACTGCGTGTCTTGCATTCTGCCCGCCTGGATCACTGCGTGTCATGCATTCTGCCCACCTGGATCACTGTGTGTCCCGCATTCTGCCTGCTTGGATCGCTGTTCCCGCCTGGATTAGTGTGCCTGGATGCTGGTGTGTGCTGTTACCTGCCTGGATTAGTGTGTTTATGGGTTCTGTCTGCTTGAATCAGTGTGTTCTACTCTCTGCTGCTGGGTCTCTGTGTTTCCTGCCTCATGCCTGCCTGGGTCACTGTATGTCCTGCCCTCTGCCTTTATCATTATGTTTACTTCCCTGTACCTGTTTTACTTTATGTCATTCCCTGTGCCTGTATCTAATTTGGCCATATTTCATAAAGAGTTTTAATTCTTCAGAGCAGTATATCACAGCAACCAATCTAAATTCACTGTTTCGGAAGTTGGATCAGTGCAAGATGAATTCTGAGTAGCTACTATGGGTTACTGCACTTTCAGGTACCACAAGGGCCCTGCAATTCAGCACTGTTATTGCCATAGAAATGTTTTAGACCACAGAGGTCAGGTTTACTTTAATAATAGTCGCCTTTTAGAAGAGCATGCAGCTGAATTTAGTGATGTGTCCTTCTCAATGGACCTTACAGTGCACATTTTAAGAATGCATACACTTTCTGCGCTTCCGACTAGAATGTCGCCAAAGGATTCGTATCTCTGCACTTGTTTGACCTTACCATTTATCATTGCTTCCTCTGTAGTATGCTTTTGTCCATTGACTGCCATTATTGTGTTGTGTTTTGTTATTTGCGTTAAGCGCACACAAAATTCCCTTCCGTAACTACTGTATTCAAACAGAGAGCATTCTGTGTGTGATTGTTGTTCAAGGCTTGTATCATGTGAGGCGGCGGTCACAGGGCCACCCGTTCACTTTTTGCAGTATGAAGAGTATGACAATGGAAGTGCTTGTTGAGTCCCAACAGATACAGACCTCCCTCTCAAGTGCCTTGTTCTCACCTCATTACTAAGTCAAGCAAAAGTGGTATTAAGTGTGTTATGACTACTACATATAGCATGTAGTATGTAGATGTCAACTCTTCATCTCTTGCTGGTGGTAAATCCTTCTCGAGAACAGAAATATTTTTTGGTCCTATCTTTATGGAGTTTGGTTCTGATTTTGCTTCATTGCACAGTATTTCAGCACGTCACTAGTTGTGTCTATTGTTTACAAGCTCTTTGGTGTTAAACATCAACTAATGGACATAAAGCAAACCTGTTTGAGAAACGTTTATAAGCTTCCATCGCTGACCTTTGCTTCTAAAAATGCTGTCTCCTTGGTTTTCTTTGCCTTTAAAATCAATTTGTGTCTGTGATCAGAAGAGTTTGAAAACTAGGAGTTCTTACTTCACTTGGTCCATGCTTGTTCTAGGTTAGTGTCTCAGAAAATAATAAAATAATAATTAGTCATTTGTGTTTGAAATGTTTTTTTGTTTTTTTTGTTGCATCCTAAAGCTGGCCATACACTATAAGAATTTCAGCCAGTTCTTGATGAACCAGCTGAAATTCGCACAGTGGGTGCGCCTGTCGGCACCCTTCGCCCTCGTTCACACCTGAACGTTTTCTAGCGCGTTCTACATTCGACGAACGCTCTACAAAACGCTCAAAAATATAAATCCCATTGTAGTCAATGGTCTCGTTCCCACCTTGGCGTATTTCCGCCCGTCTCTAACGCGCTACAAAACGGCCCACGCCTGAAAAGGTACAGGTACTACTTTGGGCCGTTTTGTTGCGTGTTTCCATTGGGATACAGCCAAGTAGCCTTCGGAAACGCGCGACGGTCGCGCAACTTTTTTACCACGAATCGCGGTAAAAAAAAGCGCGACGGTCGCGCATATGTAATACGTCTAGGTGTGAACGAGACATTCCACTCAGCATCTTTAGATCAGAAAATCGAAGGAGCTGGTTAGAAACTCTTCAGCCAAATGGAGCTTGCAGACAATTAGCACCGTTCAGGTAGTCCGTTCTGGTGGCCACTGTCAGAATACAATGGAAACAACAGGGGATTTGTCCATCCACGTTGCATAGTGTTGATGGAGGAATCTGTGATATTTTTAATAGTACAGTGTATGGCCAGCTTTAGTGTGGTCCCCAATATAGAATCAAGTAGCGTATTCCTTTTTACAGCTTTCTTTTTTCCTCTGTTTCATATTACAACTGTTATTATGGCCATCAAAGGCTCTTTCATATAGTTCATATGCATAATGAATCTCCTTTTTTCCTTTCAAGATCAGAGGCACATGTGATTACAATGAGAAGCTGTTTAGTATTCATAAGCACTGTGCAATATCAAAGCCCACTATTCAATGTCCAGTATGCTGTAACAGTGAATTTTGTGTGCCCTGGAAAATATATAGTACCATTTTTTTCTTTTATAGAGGTAATTTTCACCAGGGTTAAAAAAAACGAACATTTTCTTCCTTCATCTCTGTGCTTGGGGTGGGACCATCAGATAATCAGAATATACACAGCAGATCAGTAAACTGATATATTCTATTAAGTGTGTGTTCTGATCTTGTGAGAACATATGACCTGTCTGCTCATGTGACTGTGTTTAGCCATCTACAGGCAATAACAATATTGTTGGTGAATTCAGCCCAATTTATCCAGTAAGGTCTTGACCATGTAATTGGGTTGATAAGAACATTTATATTTTCCATATCCCCGCATGCACACGTTCCAAAACTGCATGTTGCTCATAATCTGGTAATTTGTAAAGTTCAGCATTTCTTTTCCTTGCTCGTAACTTGTTCATCGGACAAGTTACTATAGCCTGTACTTTTCTAGGGCCCCCTCTATCCTGATCATTATTTTATATTGAGGCCTTACTTGTGCTTGCAATGGTAATGGCTGCCACTGCATTGGGTTCATCTGTATGTATTGGTTTGCGATGCCATTTTGTAGAGGTTGACTTCCTGACTGGATGACTATTCTCTTACAAAACTGGAGCTCAGACGACCTTGGGTTTGGGTATGATGGGGCTCAAGGACCTTAGCTTGTGAGGATGGGCTGGGGAGTTCATAGACAAATAACGGATGGGATTATTAATGACAAATAATGCAGAGTCATAATAGTGTAAGCAGGTTTTAGAAATGGTCAAATTAAAAATTGAATCTGGGGCTGTCATTCTAGACCTCCTTCTTAAAATACCAGTTGCCTTGCTAGTATCCTCATCCATTGGCTTCAATATTATAAACAAGTATACAGATCAGGAAGGTCTAAGAAATATCATACCTTCTTATCGACACATTCTTGTTCTGGGTCAAAGATTCAAAGTATACAAGCATAAGGGTTGTTATGACAACCAAACAACTAGCATTTTAAGAATGAGAGTCCAGCCTCCATGTTCTCTCTCATTAGGGGTTTTCTTTAACATTACCAGTATTGTTCACATATTTAGCAGCTGTAATTTGGAAACCCAAGTAAAACATTCAAGGCAGTTTTCAATTATTGGGCTTATTCATAAAGACAATGCAGTGATGATGTGCAGCTTGCAATAACCATCCTCAATCAGTTATCTAATTTGTGAACATCCTGTGTCACCGAATATTACTCAATAATTAATTTGACTACAGTAAGTATTAACATGATTGGCAGCTGGTGATCACTGCATTTTGCTGATCATCATTGCTCCTTGCACTGCCTTACTGAATGTACATGAACATGTAAATTTGTGATATTGATTTATTAGTGCAATTTAACAGTCCCTTGTTGGTATTATCCAGACGTAATTCCAAGACCCATCTTATTCTTTATGAGATTACCTGATTACTTTTCTTTTCCACCCTAGCAAATTGCATTCAAGCACCTGATTCAGAGAAACAGACAGAGTGAACAACAGAGCCAAACGCCACCAGCAGTGAACTCCACCATCAAACTGCCCTTTATTATTGTGAACACCAGCAAAAAGACTGTGATTGACTGCAGTATATCTAGTGACAAGTGAGTTTCATGAATAGTCAAGTACTTAAAAGAAGATTTTCAAATTCCCAATATGAATAATGTGTTCTGTCTTATGGGCAACCTGGGTCCTCCAGCTGTTGAAGATACTAGGAGTCCAACACTCTTGACAGCTGGAGTGCCATGGTCCATTCCTACTATATGTCCTCATCTCTTGTACCCACCACCTTTATGTGTTGTGCCTTCTCCAAACCTTCCTTTTCTTATTCTGTTCTAGCTTTATGAGCGTTTTGTCTTCTGTACATCTCTGGAAGTGCCTGTATTCTTTTTTTGTTTTTTCAGGTTTGAATACCTCTTTAACTTTGACAATGCCTTTGAAATCCATGATGACATTGAGGTTCTGAAGAGGATGGGGATGTCATTTGGACTTGAGTCTGGCAAATGCACAAAAGAAAACCTCAGTCTTGCCAAATCCTTTGTTCCAAGAGCCTTAGAAGGATATGTAACAGGTAAATAATAAATCGATAAACTTGGCAGACCTTTTTCAGTATAATTTGTTGGTGGTTCTTGTCTATAATTCTCTGTTACTGCTGAGCTCTCACATCTTGCAGTGTCTTGTAAAGTTACTAACAGCAGGTGGCAGAGTGGATACACCAGACTTTGGGTCCTCTGCTTTGCTTGTCTTTTCAGCCTGTGATTTTGAAGTTGATAGCACTTAAAGGAGAACTATGAGGTGAGTGATTTTCACTCATCCATATAGTTCTAGCCGACCTGTGACAATAAAACTGTCACAGGGCGGCTCAGTAGATCCGGAAGTGAGCGAACACATACCGGCGCTCACTCACTCCTCGATCCAGTCACAGCAGAGTGCCGTGACAGGGGAGGGACTCGATTCCCCCTCCCCTGTCCGATCCTCCAGCGCTGACTGGCGGAACGGACCGGGGAGGGGGCGGGTACAGCTGGCTGGCCTCTAGATAGGCAGAGCCAGCTGTCACTCACGCAGAGGGGCGGATCCAGACATAATTGTCGGGATCCGTTTCAGCTGTAGCGTTTCAGTATACCGCGAGCTGCAGCTCGCGGTATACTGAGCTTAGGGTGAAGGGAGGACGCTAGTTTGTGTCCTCCCGTTACCCTTAGGAGAACTATGGGGAAAAGAGCTAACCCCATAGTTCTCCTTTAATGTTCACGTATGCACATTTAAAAATAATATACCCAGACAAGTAAGAAAGTTAACAAATAATACCTACATTTTTCTCTTCATCTGTTGCCTGAGAGCTATACTGGGATCCTCTTGTCATGGGTTCTTTCACAGTATCCAGAATGATAAGGTCATCTGCAGATATTTTCAGACAAAGGAATAGGTATACCTCTTAGAATCCCTCAGAAGTTAAGTTTTTCTCTAAACAGTGCTGACAGACAGGCTTTATATGACCGAAGAGATTGTGTGAGTCTCTTCTGTCATGGATCCACCTGTCTGCCTGTCAGCACTTTTTTAGATTGCTGTACACTGAGCCACGCATGCACAGCTTAGTGTACAGACTCTGCAGAAATCTTTGCCGAGACGAAGTAACTGCTCTGTGTCCAAGGTGCTTCTTTCCAGACCTGAAAGCAGTAATCCAGAATGAAATAACCGATGCACCTTGCCTCTGTGCAGGAGTTTTCTCTAATAAAGACTGGTCCCTGCTCCTCTCTTTCCATGTGCAGGATGATTGGTCTTAACCCCCTCCTGTAATTTTCTGTTGTCAGCCTGTATTGGAAGGGCTTACTTGGCCACACAACAACTCTGCTTTCTGTGGTCTATGTCCAGCATAGTGAAGATGTCACTGCTACTTTTTAGAAAGTAATTTCTGGGTTTGGAAAGCTCTTTGGTGCACACAACGTAGATTTATATCCCCTTTGGCTATTGAGGAATATATTTAAAGCGATGATATCTTGGCTTCCCTTCCTTCCGTCTCCCTCTAACTGATCACTGTTTTACAACAAAGAACTTACATGCCCTTTTTAATAACCAATAGTTATAGTTATTCACACTTTCCTCCGGGCCCCCCTCCCTGCAGAGCTATGGTGATCTTCACTGTGTGGCCGCTTTGTGCATCTTCTAAACCTACTCAGCTGGCCAATGGACCACTTGAGTATGCACATTGAAGGTAACTGCAGGAAAATGTTGACCAGCAGAGAGGTACTAAAGAATGGGATGATTGCAAATACATTTCTGTAAACTAAAGACACCTACACCAGCATGTAATAAAGATCTACTCAGATATGTTCAGAATTATCAGAATGTACCTCTATGTTCATTCTGATAATTAACTGAGAGAAATGACCAACCACACTTCTAGATGTTCACCTCTCTCTTCTAGATGGTCATTTCTCACTCTGATATCTGTAATACAGTCGCCTGCTCTTTAAGCCACTGCTTGTGGCCCTGTAAAGTGTAATGCAATTCACCCTTCAGCAGATGGTTAGTTGAAAAGACTGAAAGAGTTACAGAAAGTGGGTGGGGTTTGGGATTTGGGTAGACGATGCAAAGAAGCTGAGAGATGGGGCTTCCTTTAGTCAACGGACATTGTGTGTGGGATAGGGCAGAGCTGGATGTGGACTCATTGTGCATATTAAACATAGAGCCGGCTATTCATTGCCTCCTAGGTGACATTTCTTCTTAATGAAAGGGCTTTTCCTGTTGATCAGTGGGAACAACCAGTGCGGATAGGGGAAATCCCATTCATATTTATTGAAGAGAGTACTACCATGTTAAAGGGACAGAACACCCAGATATTCTTTTATAAATATTCTTCTTGCTTGTAATGACTGCCACAACTAATACCTGTAAACATTGCAAAACATATTCTGAGACATTTCAGTCTGTTTGCAACCATGGTCCATCTGTAGAGCCTTGTGAGTAGTGGAGTTGGGTTAAGTTTAAAGGGGTTTTTTTTTCTGTAGCCAAAACATTTTTTTTCGCTTTGCTGAAAGTAGGGTGATTTAAGAACACCTATCAAGTATTTCTTTTCTTTTTGAATATGTCTTTTGTGGAGGTTTTCTTTCACTTCCTGTCCTGGTAGCATAATTTTCACTGTGGCTGGAAGTAAGGGGAAATATTCAGTGGGGACATATAAAGGTTCTACCCTTTCCTTATTCAAGACAGGTTTATTTGCAGGGTTTGGTTTAGGAGCAGATTAAGATATTGGCACAGACATGAGCAATTGGAGATATAAGCAGTTGTTGTGATGCATGCTTTATTTGTAGAAGTTGAATAATGGTCCCATCCCCTTTCACCTCTCAAACTTCCCTATTGGGTAGTGAGTCATCCCATCACTAGTGTGGGCTATAGAGAGACTTGAAAGGCAGTAATGAGTGGTAAAAACCCAGCATATAGCAGAAAAGGTGACATTTGCATATGATTTTAGCTGCTTGTATCTGTGGAGGTACTGCTTAGTTTGCATTGCCTAGGTTTACTTTAAAGTGTATTTCCACTTCTGCAGTCAAATTTCAGAAAACCCCTTTATATGTTTTGTTATGTGTTCCTGTTCACACAGCATATCTAAAAATATTTACAAAAAATATTTCTTGCGTGTTAGAGGTTTCTTTGGTGAGGGCCTTTGTTCAGAATGTAGAGGAACAAACTGTGGGACAGATGGAGTTTCTTTTCATTAACATACGATTCTTCTAGGACTTTAACCCCTGGTTAGGGCAGACAGTGTTCACGGGTAGTGCACAACTGATCATAAAAATCTGCCAGCACAGTACAGACAGGGTTAATAAGAGTAAACATTACTTTTCATAACCCCCTCCTTATCATTACATAGGGGGAAGCTTGGCAGGATTTTTAAGCAAGTAAAACTTAAAAATGTAAGTAGCAAATTTTAAATATATTTAAAGTGCAACTGAAGTCAAAACTTTTTTTTTAGTTTAGGATAGAGTGGCAATGAGTTGAAACATCTGTCAGGTTTTTATTGCTTCAAAAACAGTAGGTCCCCCTGCAGTCCTTACAGCGTTTCCGCTCCAAGTAGCAAAGGTGGTGCTCGCAGTGACAATCACGGATGGCGCTTTGCACAGCAGTCAATGAAGGGTAGAAATCACCAGCACTCGGTAGATGACGTTCAAAAGAATAACGTCCATTTATTTGGACAAAACGTCACACATATCACAGTATCCAACGTTTCAGGACCACGCAGGGTCCCTTCATCAGGGGCAGAGGTTTTTATTGCTGTCTGAGTCCCCATTAGGTAGATTCACTCCCTCTGTATGTCCTGGTGATCGTTATCCTTAAAAGAAAATCCCAAATGTTTGGTTGTCCTCAGAACGGAATAGATGGGAAATGGGGCACTAGTTCTGGTGACTCTGTTGCCCACCAGGGATTTCCTTCACTGTGGAGGGATTTCCTTTCACTTCCTGTTGTGGCTATCGAACAGGTACAAATGGAAATCTCCCCAATGGGACACAAGGGCAAAAAAAGCTGACAGGTTATAACCTTCCCTTGCTCTATTAAAAATTTTTGTTTTTTAAATGTTGGCTTTAGTCTTTAGTTCTGCTTTTAGTTATACAATGTGAATGGGAACGTGCAACAAATATAAAGTAGGTGTTATCCCAATTTGGCTGTGAAAGGGAAAATACACTTCAGGGTCACAATGTTTTCTGTTTTTAGATGTATGTTGAATTAACTTTTCAGAATAGATCAATTTCATGGTACTGATCTCATGCCTGTTCCATTCTAGTCTGTCTTATTATAAGGTGAACACCTACCCATCCTGGGGTGGCCAGCCATCCTCCAACTATCTTTAATGAAAATATTGTAAATCAGATGTGGCTTTAAAAGCCATAGCAGTGCCTGGCAGGATTGTACCATGTATGTATGGATCCATCCCATTTACCAGGGCTCAAAATTTCCACTCGCCTGCTCTCTTGGCGAGTAAAAATAAAGTGAGGGCGAGTGGAACCCGCCAACCGGTACTATGTGGCCCGCAGCCTGCTGACAAGTCAGGCACACGGTCGCAGACTGCGTACTAGAGCTGTAGCTAACGATTATTTTCAAAATCGATTAGTTAGCCGATTATTAAGTTCGATTAATCGGTTAAATAATAAAATTAAATGTAAAAAATGGCTCCAGTGATGGACTATGACTTGTGGGAGCAGCTAAACTGTCTGCATCTGTGTCGGATGCAGACCGTATAGCTGCTCCTGTCAGCTCCAGCTTGCTTCGGCCAGAGCTCTGACAGTTCTGAGCTCCGGCCGAAAGAAAGGATGTATTAGTGAGGTCTGCAGCAGACCTCACTAATCACATTTCTTGCAGCAGAAATCCCTAATCTGACGGTTAGAAGCGGCAACTATCATAAGTTGTGGCGTGTGGCGTGTAACTCTTAAGGCCTGGCTAGTAGCTCAGGACTTGACATTTTGAGCCCTGCCATATACCATGTGCTTTGTTCAGTTATCGCTCTTTTATAATCTGAGAAGTTCATTGTCTGAAGACGTACTGTTGAAACCTATACATTTTATGAAACTCTTCCTGCAGTTCCTACATGCGACTAGGTCCTCCATGAGAAACAAAGCCTTGCCTCTAATTATATTACATGCATTCGGTAATGAAAAACACACAGCAACCCTTATTTGTAATTGAAAAGTACGTTCCCTATAATACCATTTCTTAGAAAATGAATTGGATTCTGCACAGCAAATCTTACTGCACCAGCTGCGATGTACAGCGGAGCCGAGTGTCTCTTATCGACAGATGTCTTGTGTGTGTTTACTACAGACTAGGCCAAGGCCAGCAATTTCTCACAACAACTTTCTATTTGCTTGAGATATTCCCACTAACATCCAGAAGCTTGCGGGGCCTGCACTGGAAGCAATTTATCATTAGCTCTAATTGTGACGTGGTTCTAGACACAGCTAGATTGTCAAGGCCGTGCTGTGCAGTACATCACATCTGTGAAATGACAGAGGTTACAGACAATAGCAGGACTTGTGTACTACTGAGATACAGGGACTGTTATAAGGACATTTCTGGTTAAGGGCCCGTTTACATTTGTGTGGAGAGTTGTCATTTTCAGCAGTAGAAAAATGCAACGCTCTGCAAGGGACAGAAGACAATGCAGCACAGGTGTGATCTGAATCTGTGCATTTTCCTGCGGAGCACTGGATGGCAACGCAGACCACCACAGAGCAGTACACAACGCTGCTGTGCGAGAGCCTGGATGGAGTGTACAGTTTGGACATTTCAAATAAAGCAAGAAGCAAACAGCGCCTTGCTTTGTAACAACACGGCTCACTGCTGTCATTTCAACAGGCACTAGCCACCTGGCAAAATGCTTCATTCTGCCATGCGGCTAGTGTGAACCAGCCCTAAAGAAACCCTGCTGACAGAAATATGTGAGGTTCAGACAGCTGACCTCCTACTAATACTAAATACCCCTGGGTTCAATACACTGTGAATCACTCCCCAGGAATAGGAATTCAGATTAGAAAGTCATAGTGAACTCAACTCCTGATCTGTAGACTTGTTTTAAGTCAATACTTATTGAAGCCATTGAATAAGCATGGCACCCAAGCAGCTAGCATTCTCAGTAGGGGTCAGCAATGGCAACTTCTGTATTCTCAGAGTACAAATTTCCTTTAGTGCTGTCTTTGGTTATTCATTTGTAAATGACCAGACTATTCCAGAAATGTTTTTACCCTGACAATCCTTTATTACTTACACATAGCAGGCTATAGGCTATGAACATTGGTGCAGGCCATTAGGATTAGTCATGGAGGACAGAGATTTCTTCCCATGCATGGACAGATTAAGGATGAGGGAAATGAGTAAACATTAATTGCATTGTGACATAAGGAATACTAAGTTCCCCAATACTCTCAATGTTTTAACAATACTTCTGTCATCCCAGAGTAAGAAATTTGCTCATGAATCCCATGTGGTCACCATTGAGATATATTGCCTTGTTGCACCTAAACTCAGAGTTCTAAGGGCACTAGTCCTGTGGATGAAACTGAAGGAACAACCTGTCAATAAAGAACAGGAGAAGACTTCATAAGTTGCACAGAACCAACTAACTGAGTTATATGTGGTCTGTCTGTATTCCATTGCTGAAATTGTTGGTGTTCTAGAGACCCAACAGGGGAAAGTGAGGGGAAATTCTCTCTTAGACAATTGTTACAGAAGCAGGTGTCCCCATTGTGAGATATATGCTTACCTCCTGTGCGTGTGACAGCTGTAAAACTTTGGCTCTCATTATTTTCAGTCCCCAGGAAAAATAGTAAATGTATATCTCCCCAAAAGGAACACAGGGGATATAAACTCATGTCTACTCTATCGAAAAAAATGGCTGTATACTTTAGAACTAAGCCAATGTTCCACATTTGGAGATGTCTGATGTACACTTTGTTTTTCTTTGTCTAACAGAGATGGCCACAGGAAACTCTTGGGTGGAACAAGGTCTTAATTGCAATGCATCACAGTGCTCTGCCGTGACCGCTGCCGGCTCTACCACCTATTCACAGACGAGGTATGGTTAAAGCACATGTAGACTTTAGGGGTCCAAATCTTCTGTGAACTATAACTACAGAGTCCACTACTTAGCTATGATATCTGTATATAAAGTAGGTCTGCTTCGTAGCATTCATATCATATACAGTGTGAAATATATTGCCCTACTCTCAGCATTCTGAAGAGTAAAATGGTCGCAGACAATTCTAATAATAATCACTATAAACATATTGTTCACCTTTTAAAAAAAACCTTTTACCACAGAGAAGACGAAGTTTCACCATAGCTGGTTTTATTGGATTTGATTCACCACTTCAGAAATTAACTCCTTGATGTCAAACTAGAAGACAATTTCTATACCCGGCGGGATAACCTAAGCGGATTGATGTCCTTCCCTACCCTTTTTCCATATCTTTCTTTTCTATACACTAATCTTTTCTTATCTGCTTTTTCCTCTCTTTTGCTCATTTTCCTGCGCTACCCAACCATTCTCCACCCTTTGTTTGCTCCCTGCACACTCTTACCTTTAACTCCTTATAGACAGTGTAGATATCTTTTCAGGAACATTGAGAAGACAGAAGGATTGGCTGTGTCTTTTAAAAATATTTTCCAAATCTCAGTAAAAATTATTGCATCAGACTTTGGAATCATTTCATTTACCAATGTGTAGCCCTAAATGACCAAATCCTTATCCAAGCTTCAGAATTGGGGCCACACATCACACATACATACCCTCTGAATATAATATTTTATTCTACAATAAGTAGTGCATGAGCCTACCTGAAAGGACCTGACACTACTTATTTCTTGTTAAATCTAAATGAGAACCTGTGATCAGATTGTAACACCTGAAGATGGCTTTAGCACTACTAGCTGTAGGCTTCCTGAATGGTAATGTTTTAGCTTCCAAAACAAAGGGTTTAGTGACCATTTAAGAAGTACAATAATACTGAAATATACTTTTGTGTGGCACAGTGTTCCTCTGCATGTCAGCAGATTCGTTCCATACTGTAGCACATTGCTATTTTCAGCAGGAAGTGTTACTCAGGCTGCCCATTGTACAGCTTACTAAAGATTCTGTGTTGGTTGGAGATCATTTAGTGACATGATGGTTTAGGGCTGGGACTGGAAAGAAAAAATATATTATTATTATTATTATTACATAGTATTTATATAGCGCCAACAGTTTGCGCAGCGCTTTACAATATAAGGAAGACATTTGTAGGCCAAGCGGGTGGATTTTTTTGAGGAGCAGCGGCTGGTCAACAGTGTCAAAAGCAGCAGAGAGGTCTAATAGCAAGAGTAAGGAGTAGTGGCCGTTGTTTTTAGCGGTTATTAGGTCATTGGTGAGTTTTAGGAGGGCGGTTTCAGTGGAGTGTTTGGGGCGAAAGCCGGACTGAAAGGGGTCCAAAAGGGTGTTATTAGTGAGGTGGCAACTCAGGCGGTTGTAGATAAGGTGTTCTAGGAGTTTAGAGGTGAATGGGAGTAAGGAGATAGGTCTGAAATTATTGAGGTTGGTAGGGTCCAGTATGTCAAAATACTCCTAAATTTAGACATTGAATGTGTCTGTTAGTGGGGTTTGCTGAAATAATGAAGTCACACATTGGAAACAGAATATGTAACGATATTTGGAGAAGTCGGCAGTCACTGCACATCTACAAGGCAGATAAAATGGGCTCTTTTAGAAGGGAAAACAAAGCTATTTGTTTCCAGAGAAACCTTCATTTCCATCACAGAATAATTTCACTCAGCAAAGTTAAAGCGTAATTGATCCCTCTGTATTTATTACTGTATTGCAGTCAGGCTGCATATACAGTAATAAATGTATGCTGGTCTTTTAGTTTTAGTTGCTTAGTGTTGCAGGGTTACAATTGCTGGCAGCATATTGGAGAGTCGGACCTCTGCACTTCCACGCGCACCCATCTTCTCCCCCTTTACCCTGCTCCAATTAGCATCTCTGCTCGGTGAGTTGATTAGAGCAGTGTGCAGGGAAACGTCAGACTGCAGGAGACCCAGAACGCTGCTTTTGTATGAGAGCAGTGTCCCAGACTTCCGTATTCTCAGTGTATTACAGCATGGTTTGAGTGGCAGTTGGTGACACAGTAATGTGACACAGTAAGAACTCAGCATGCAACTTGAAACAACAACATCCCATTCGTATTGCTGGCAGAAATAACTTCAAAAATGTTGTTGATCTTATTTTTAGACTGTTTTGTCAGGTTTTTTTTCATTTATTTATTACTTTTCTTCCTTGTGCCTCCATACAGCATGAATCCAGGACTATTTTTTGACAACGAGGTATCTCTGACAAACAGCAGCCATCACTCCAGTTCAGGAACATCCCATTATACAGAATCTCGGGGAGAAACCCCCTGCTCATTCGACGATGAAGAGGATGATGACGACGATTCTTCCTCTCTGGAGTAACATGGCCGTAAGATGTGCACACGTGTGAAGTCATGTGTAAACGTGTGCTCCTAGTCTAGTCTTCCAGCGCAATTTCGATGAACCGCATCGAGATCAAAGACTGATATTGATCTATAAGGAGGAGCAGTGGATGCAGTCGTATGTGCAAAGTACTTTCAGATGGCCTCTTGATTGCCAAGCAATGATCAGATCACACCAGCAATGCTGATTAGTTTTGTTTGTTGGGCTGAATCTAAGAGGATCACAAGCAGGGTATTTGAAGTGATCTATTTCCACTGCTCTTGATATATGACTGCTGCAGCAATGACTTATTTAATTCCTATCACAAGCCTAAGGCCACTCCAGTGATACGGAACATCTAGATACATTAGGCAAGATGCCTTCTAACGACTTGTGGAATACATGCTGCTATGTACGGAATGCTGCAGATATAGGGAAAAAGCTCATATTTTTGTCTGTCAGACCGATTGCCGAAAACACAGAACTTCAAGTTTTAGCATCACCCTTGATGTCTAGAAGGGAAAATTGTGCTGCCATGGCAAATTTAAATTGTTGTTTCTTTTTCCTAACTGTGTAAAGAAAGACTTTCAGTTTAATTTTGTTTTAAAGGGTAAGTCCTCCCAAAGTAATTCTGTTTTGTGCTGATATAGATGAGTTAAGTTGCCCTTTAGCTTCCGATAATTATGCTGGAGAAGAGATCCCCTCCCTCATCTTATGCAATTACGTTATTCTAAGCAGAGGGGCCATCCTCTTGCTGGGTCTTGGAAGGAAAGCAGGGCCAGGTATCCTAAGCGTTTTACAGTTAGGTTTCACTCAAATATATTCATTCAGTTTTGGGAGGACTTACCTCATAATATTTCAACCATCATACAACAGAAAGGTGGAAGCAAAATGCTTGAAGCTCACGGATTCCCAGTTTTCAGCAATGTTTCATAGGGAAATTCACTAGACCGTCATCAGCTAACACATTTGGATTCATTCTTTATTTTTTTTAAATTTTACAATAAAATTAAAGGGTGTGAGAGTAGATTTTGTCTATGTAGCACACAAGTGAAGCAGCCATTTTGTGTGACGAAGCAGAGTTCAGGTGGCATACAAGAGCACTGCTGCATGAAGATTTTTTAAATCATTATAGTGAACATTGGCATTCTCATAAGAGAAACACTGTGCCAAAGCAAAGCACTGTGTGAGAAGGCTCTAATAGAAACAGCCATTCCCAGACTCCTATGCCTGATTCCAGCATAGCAATTCAATGAACAGTTGTAGGTTTACTGCCCCACAACAAGCATGTGACTCATGAGGTAAGGACGCTTTCCAACGAAGCCTTTTTTGCACAGGTGTTTATCTGTGACAGGTCCCCATCAATGTTGGGGGTATATGTAATGGCTGCCTTCACTGTGACTTGTAGATGTGTTCATTTTAAATAAGTGAAATGCCAGTCCTTTTTCTCAATACTCAATGCGTATTGACCTTTCCTAAACCAACTATGATAGAAATCTGTATTTAGACTGGAGGTTTCATTTGAAAGCCAATAGACAGGTAAGAAGAATGTTTACATTGTGCTTTTTTCATTTAGTCAAAGTTCAGAAAACAGTTGAGGCCTTTCAGCCAGTTGATTTAGGCATTAAGTTGTATTGCTTAAATGAACCTGTGTCCAGACTATGCACACTAAGTATTTATATGTTCTGAGCAAGCAGCAAAACCACTTTAAAAAAAAAAAAGCCATCATTTGCCTCTGAAGATGAATTTCTCCGCAATGCCCATAGCTACAAAGTTTATAACAGGGGCGCTGAAAAAAAGTACAGAAAAATAACCATTGATATGTCGGAACAATAGGGTGCTCTTACCTTCCCAACAGAGCGGGGGAATTTGTCAAAACTGGAGCAGACAGAATCTGGAGCAGTTGCCCATAGTATCCAAGTATCCAATCAGCTTCTCTCTTCAGTTTGTTAAGTTGAGCTTTGAAAATGAGAGAGAGAAGCTGATTGGTTGACATACAAAGCTGTTCCAGATCCTGCCTGCTTCAGTTTAAATACATTTCCCCTTAATGTACTTTCGGCTCTGATTTCCAAAACATATGTTGCCCACCCTGCCTATGTAATATCTAATAGGTCCTCTTACACAGAACATAGCCCACTCCTCATCACCTACCCCCTTGCTCAACTTTTCCCCATCTCCTCCACTGCTTCTCATCCTCCTCATCTTCATAACCCCTCCTGCAGGGGCGTAGAGCACAGGTAGTCACCAGTTCACAAGATTTCTGGAAAAATCAACAAGTATTTTTTGCATTTATCAAACAGATATAATGATTCACTTCTACTGGTATATGTAGCTCACCAAAAGGGGGCAAATAAGAGAAGTTCATTGTTCGGGTTTACATGCACTTTAATAAACAGGCAAACTTTAAACACCACAATGGTCGGATATTCCAGTAATAACCTGGAAGTCATCCAATGACCACTTTGAATTAGAAACATTTCTAAATATTGTATTTGCAATTGGAGTTGGTTGGTTAGTGCGTTACTGTACATTGTGGTGTGCCGCAACACTGTTCATTGAGTTAATGAATTAGGGTTCAATTGACAATGAAAGGCATTGCAATGTGCTTACACACTCTATAGTAACGCATTGCAGTGAAGAAGTCTGAACGTGCCCTTATTCTAGGGAGCCAAAAACCTCTTCAGGAGCAAAGGTAAATTGATGTATTGATTTTCAGACCAGCCTGGGGTTCAAATTAGTCTTTTCTGCACATTGGTTTTCCATCTGACATCACCCTAAGGCTTAGTTTACACATGCCTTGTATTGTAAATGCCAGTCTGAAGAGCAGTGTGTAGAGCAGGCATTAACAATCCTTTCAGCAAGCTTCTGACAGCTTTAAGAAACCCTTATAATTTCACGTAAACATGACATCTAAAAAAGTGGCCATTACTGACTTCTAGATGCCTGGCTGTTCTGCTGACCGTCGGGCTTTGCTCATTTTGAATTACTGACTGAGACCAATAATGCACACGTGTCCTTTTGATTTTTTTGAGACTTTATCTACCTATGTTTTTGGGCCAGTGACCTAGAATTCATTAAAGCTAATGCCTCCTTATAACAGCCAGGCTCCTAGCATTTAGGGGAGGAGGTAAGCAGTGTAAGCCCCTATATTTTGCTCATGGTGTGTTTATTTAAAGCCCTTAAAACTGTGCAGAAGCTTTCTGGAAGTCTTCCACAGCCATTACGATCTGTATTCAGCATTCCCAGACCGAAAATCAAGGTTGTGTGGAAAGCTTTGGAAATGCTGCCCTGTAAACATGGCTCCCCAGATCCGAATTTACCAGCTGAAGCCTTTTGTGTACTAGACCTAAGCTTGATGCAAGACCATGACTGTGCACGGCAATACTCAAAATCCGCTGCCCAATTTATTGAAAGTAGACCATACCCAGCCAGCTATACATGGACTGAATTGTGGGCACTCCATTTGCCCTGTGCGAGAGATCCTTTGCACTTACCATTCATAGCGCTAGTGTTGGAAACTCTGTGCCATCAATGCATGTACACCCTTTAACTGCCCTCCTGCTCAACACATCCAGTGCACTGGATAAAAAATCTCAGACAATCTCTCCATAAAACAGGACATAATTAATATAGGAATCACAGGATAATATTCCAACCAGTTCAGCCAACCCATGTGTGAGTACCTTCTAGTTTTCAGTTGGCCTAAATGAACTGTTCCACCACAGATGATGGGTTGACCATACTTAAATCAATGTTTAAGAAGGTTGGATGAAAATCCAACCTTTTATAACCAATTTGGAGTCCATTTATAACCAATTTGCAGAGATTTCGCATAGAATGACCTGAATCAAAGCACAGGATGCCACACCCCTGAAAGGGAGCGGAGGAGCATAGGAAATAGGCATTTGCTTTGCTCCTCTGCTCCATCTAGTAGCCATACTGCAGTCTTACATTACATGCATTCAACCTGAAAAGATAATATATCTAAGAACCCTTCATTTTTGCATCTGTTGGCACAGAATGAACATTCAGAAACGTTTGTAGGAGGAATGGCTCTGTGAATTGGTTATCAATAGACCCCTTGTTTTAGGAAATGTTACCAGTACAGACAGCAGTCTGGGTCAGTGGCTGTTAATGAGTTGATGTATACATGATTATATACAGCAACCGATCACGGTAAATCTACGATTTCAAATTATCACAAAATTCAAGCTACAATCACTCACTTGCAGTCATTGTGATCAAAGGGCACCAGTCATGGGAAAATACATGAAGTGCCATTGTTGGCCTTCTGAAAATGCTATCTGCTGGGTGGTGTTTGGTTTCATCAAATTGTGTCACTGACTTGGGACAAGTATACAGCAAAGAGTGGAATCTCCTGACCTGCATGCTTGTTCCGGGCATCGGAACCAGAGACACTGACTTGGGACAAGTATACAGCAAATACTGCAAACTCCTGACCTGCATGCTTGTTCTGGGCATCGGAACCAGAGACACTGACTTGGGACAAGTATACAGCGAATAGTGGAAACTCCTGACCTGCATGCTTGATCTGGGCATTGGAACCAGAGACACGGACTCGGGACAAGTATACAGCGAATAGTGGAAACTCCTGACCTGCATGCTTGATCTGGGCATTGGAACCAGAGACACGGACTCGGGACAAGTATACAGCGAATAGTGGAAACTCCTGACCTGCATGCTTGTTCTGGGCATTGGAACCAGAGACACTGGCTTGGGACAAGTGTACAGCCAATAGTGGAAACTCGTGACCTGCATGCTTGTTCCAGGCATTGGAACCAGAGACTGACTTAGGACAAGTATACAGCGAATAGTGGAAACTCCTGACCTGCATGCTTGTTCTGGGCATTGGAACCGGAGACACTGACTTGGGAAAAGTATACAGCAAATAGTGGAAACTCCTGACCTGCATGCTTGTTCTGGGCATTGGAACCAGAGACACTGACTTGGGACAAGTATACAGCGAATAGTGGGAACTCCTGGCCTGCATGCTCGTTCCGGGCATTGGAACCAGAGACACGGACTTGGGACAAGTATACAGCGAATAGTGGGAACTCCTGGCCTGCATGCTTGTTCTGGGCATTGGAACCGGAGACACTGACTTGGGAAAAGTATACAGAAAATAGTGGAAACTCCTGACCTGCATGCTTGTTCCAGGCATTGGAACCAGAGACACTGACTTGGGACAAGTATACAGCGAATAGTGGGAACTCCTGGTCTGCATGCTTGTTCCGGGCATTGGAACCAGAGACACTGACTTGGGACAAGTATACAGCGAATAGTGGGAACTCCTGGCCTGCATGCTTGTTCCGGGCATTGGAACCAGAGACACTGACTTGGGACAAGTATACAGCGAATAGTGGAATCTCCTGGCCTGCATGCTTGTTTCGGGCATTGGAACCAGAGACACTCAGGCAACTAGCATTTTCTGTAGGATGCCGGCAGGAGCAGCTTACATGTTTCTCACACGAACGGTTCCTTTAGCTACCTATGCTAGGTGTATATACTGGTA